CTTCACGCGACACTGTCACTCGAAATGGAAGTAAGCTCAACAATTATGAAACAAGAGATTCCTCGAAACCTAACTTTTCTTCGCAACATTTCAGTTAGCTTAGGCGGCTAAAGGTGAGCTATGAAATGATAGTTGAGTTTTCACACAATCAGGTGAGTAGGCCACATGACACCAACTTGCTGAACTGCCGTTTCTCATCATCCCCCCTTAAGGAATTCGAGTCCGGAGTGTGAGTATCGTGGCAACGCATTATCACTTCATAACACAGATCACATTCTATATTGGGTCTTTTACTCTTCCCGGATTCCACTTTTGCAGCATAATTTATTTTCGACATATTGGGGGTGCAAGGTTGAAATTACAGCCCAGCCTGGATGAAATGACCGTCTGAGAGGTAAGGCAGAGTAAATTCAATGGCTTCTTTAGACTTACTCCTGTGATTATAGAAACACTCATCTAAACATGCCTTTAACCGTTAGCCTCGAACACTACTTATATCGTAAATAAGTAACATCGGTAATTGCAACATTAATCACAAGTTTGATCTATCGATAATCCCTTTATAAAAGTTGCTTTGGCCAAGGCCTCACTTGCCCTGAGAGGTACATGTGTCCTGTGACCCACTGGCACCCGTGGCTGTCTGGTGGAGTGATATCGTGTAGTCAAAATACTCACGATTCGGTGTTGAAATCCTTTGCGGCTGCAGATGGGACTATGGGACGAGGTCCTTTTTGCAGTTTGGTCCGGTCGGAATGAGATGGCATTTTGTGAGGCAAAGCTGAGTGAACTCCACTGCAATTCTGAGGCCTACTCGCTTGATTGTGGGCAAACTCAGATGAGTATGCTTAATTCACCTCAAGTGACCTAAAGTGGTCAATTTCTACTCCTCACACGGTCAGATTAGCGACCAATCGCACTCGGGCGCAGGCTGTTTAAAGCCTGAACAGCATTCTTGATGACTGGGAGGCATACTTTGCTGCCACTTCGAGATTGCTGTACCTCTCATTTTACTTAAAAGATTGGCTAAAGACATTCGCCCATTGGTCTTGCCGTAAATCGAGGTGGGATTGCTTTGGCTGTGTGACATATGTTTTGGGTGTAGAAGTACACTTTCACATTCAAATGAAACCAATTCACGAATCCACTCCACATTAGCCTTTTGACGAAGATTCACTCAATCCCAATGGACTTAACGTAAAGGCCTCTTCTTTGCTTAGCAGCATTTTACTCGATCTTCATTTGTGACCGCTAGCTCAGCCCCGGTGATTGTGCCTCGAAACTTGGAGAAAATCTTGAAGTTTACTTAATTCTACTTATATCTTTTAAAGTGATGCGAAACCGGTAGTTGAAACTTACACAACAGCCTACTTGTGATACTTTACAATGTGATGCAATTTCACATATTTTACGATTATGAATAGGCTTTCTCATATACATTTCACATATGCCCTCTCCTCGGGGTCGGACTGCCGGTTCAACCTTGCAAAGTCGTCAACTGGGCAGATGTGACTCTTTCAACTCACCATTTTTACAATGTTACGACTAAATTTTTTCCCAATCAAACGATATTACTATATAGAAATTGAGTATATTTAAGGGCCATTTTTAAATATTAAGTAAAAACCCAAGTCTGAGGTTAGGATTTTTTAGAACACTTTTGTCCGGAAGACGGCAAGGCTATCTGAAATGCATTGGTATCGTGAAGTCGGCCCATTCCATTCAATTCCATGGCAACTGGGACCACCTCGCCTACAACGACGATCGGATAGGAAAGCACAACCGTACAAGGAGACTCATCCTCTTACTTCAGAGGAAACTGGTATTTGCCACCCATTTTGCAACGTTTACACACACGAAATTAGTCTCTGAAGCGTTATTCTGGAGGTGGAATCGAAGAGGATAGGCCAACCAACCGATTGTAGATATGAATTCCAGGATGGTGAAACTTTCGGTTTGGTCGCAGTCCCCTTTAACTTTCTAGCGTTGGTTCGTCCTTGTTTTCGCGACTTGGTCGCAGCGTCAGAGAGACATGGTGGAACATACCGAGCCCTAATATTCGTGCTTCCCAGCTTCAGACCATTGACCTGGTACATTCCCAAACGTTTCGCTGGCAGAGGAGCCATTGTTGCCACGGAGTTACAACTCGTCAAGATGACAAGTGAAGGCAATCCCCTTGACAAAACAAAAACATTTATAGCTTTGATACGTTGTAACTCTGTGATAATGTTGGCTCCTCTCATTGACGATGCCAGCGAAACGTTTGGAAATATACCGGAAGCGCGAGAGAAAGATGCACAAAGAAAGAGAGAGTGAATGAGAGAGAAAAAGAGAGATGAAGATAGCGAGGTGTCAAGAATGTGAGAGTAAGTGAGGGAGGAAAAGAAGGGAAGAAATAAAGAGAAAGATAAAGAGAGATCGGGAAGAAAGAGAGTGTGAGAGAAAAATAGGAAGAAATAGAAAATAAGATGGAGAGATAGAGATATAAAGCTAGGAAAAGTGATAAAGAAAGAGAAGGAGAAAGAGAGAGTTGGAGATGGAGAAAAAGAGAGACTAAG